GGGGTCTCGGGTTCGATTCCCGGTGGTGCCCGAATTTATAACTTGTGTTGGGTAAGGCCGTGGGCTAGGCAACACGGAGTTTTTCTCCGTGGCATCCCAACAATTACTTCATTCACACACAGAAGAAGGCAATGGCAAAGCACTTCTGGATCATCTGCCAAGAACGTATATGAACAGGTCCCAGTCCGAGAAAAGGATGGAAGGATCCTGTTCATATGGACCTGTCGTCAGACAGAACACTAAATAAATAAATAATATGTTACACAACTGAAAGACGCAAGTTACCTCTTTGTACGTCGTAGTTCCTCGCCATGATATCAGTTTACAGAAGACTACCTTGGTCAGAGGCAACCTTAGTAAGTGTGTGTAACTCCTCGTGGCTGTGGCAAATACACCGAGAGCCCCCCTCTAATCCTGCTGGATCCCCCCCCTTCCGTGCCTGCGCACGGGATAAGATCAGAATGTAGGAGATTAAGTGTCAGTCACTTAATCTGAGGTTTCCATCACTTTTGACCAAAGAGTCGAAAGTTTCGTCTCAATTAAAAAAAATAAAACAGTCGTCTACATGCTCCTGGCTAATTGGGAATTGACTGTAATACAGACTGAAAATTTTACAACTGTAGTCGTAATGTATTCGGAAATGGTTCACGAACGTGTAAGATCGTGGTGCAGACCGGACAAAGCACCGAGCTCATGAAACAGGTTACACAACTGAAAGTCGATCTGTGTTTCTGATTGCAGTGGGCTCAATTTCCAAGATCTGATGGTGCGTCAGGGTGCGATCGATTCGCCACCGAAGACTCCGTTCACCATGGGGTTCGAGTGTGCCGGGGAAGTGGAAGAAATCGGGGAAGGAGTCACGGACTTCAAGGTGAGACTTTGCCACTGTAGTTCACATCCGGCCTCGCCTTATGTCACGGGTGGCCCAGTCAGGTTTTCGGAAGTCTTGTGAGACGTTGTTTGTTACGAAACTGGAATAAGATGCCTGAACACATTTACGAGTGTTTCACGTAGCGTCCCTTAAAACACAAATAAGCTGCTCGACCATGTATTTATTATCCAAACACACTTCAGCACATTTCCGCCTATTTTTTTTTATTTATTTTTCGCCTCATTTCTTCGTTGATCTATTTCTGGTTTTCATTGGCTGTTTTCTTTGGACTGGTTTGAGAGGTGGTAGAACCGTTATGTCTGATGGATGTAGCGAATCTTTAATATAAGTAGCGATCCTGACGCATCTCCTGTTTGATGTGGACATGTTTTTAAAGCGAGAGTTCGTTGTGAAAATACTTTGGTAAACAACAAACAGTTGGCCTTCCTGAAAACAGGAGACGCGTATAGTCTGCGCAGTAGCGGAGCTGGCGGACGAGCCTAGTCTGTGTACCTGTGGTGGCACGGTCAGTGTATTTCTTTTGTTTGGGCGTTCAGTCACACAAGCTCGTCGGTGCAGTCAGCATTATAACTATCGCAGAAGAGACTCGCTCCTATCCTCCCCCTTGAAAATTCCATTGCGCCGACTATAACAAACGCTTTTGTGCTAAGCCCCACAGAGTTCAAGTGGTAAGTACGAGGCGCGTCCTCAAAGTAAGTTTCCCTGGGGCCGTTTACAGAAACAAAACACAATTTCATGGAAATATTTATTGCAACAGATACAGCAAGTGTCCAGCTATTTTTCAACATATTCACCACCGGAATTGAGACATTGGTCATACCGTGGGACCAACTTTTGAATACCTGGG